GGAGGGTGGGGGGGGGGGGGGGGGGCAGCTGTGCTGTTCTGATCCTTCACCAATAGTACAACCTGCCTGGCTTGGACCACGGTAACCTCACGGAGAAATTCCCCTGACGCCGCACGAGGCCCAGTTGTGTCACAGCTGCACGTGAGCAGCTCCCACGAAAGGCACTGAGCACCTTGCTGTAGTTCTACATAAGCCACAGTTGAAGAATTAGGCCCTAAAAGTGGACCTTGATTTTAGCTGAGTAGCATAACATTGAGAGAGAACCTGTTTCTTCTGTTTTCTTGAAATTATTCTGTTTTTTGAAATTATTCTTAAAAAACAACACAGAAAAATGAAGTATGTGGCTGTTCCTTGTTAGATACTATTACAGATTCCCCATAAAACATCAACTGTTTTTACAATGTATTTCAATAACCTGAAATCTGCTTAGAAATACTTAGAAATCTTACTGGAAAGTTGGTGCAGTCTGTGACCAGCCAAAGAGAGAGAGCGTATTACAGTGTTCTCCCAGGTAAGTCTTGGAGTCAGGACACAGGGTCTTTTGAGCCAGAGAGCGATCCGAAATGCCTGAGAATGATAGGAAACATCGCAAAATTATATATGTTGCAGTTCAGATCTCTTCATACTTCTACTCATCAAGGAGGGAAAACATCAAAGGACTTGTAAAGAGGAAGAGCTGAAGAACTGCAGCATCTACACTGATTAGATGCTAATAAGAAGCAATGAATGGCCTCTGGCAGACTGGCGTTATGTTTTCTCAGGAGGGTGAGAGAACTGAGTAAATTATACTAAAGAGTTTCACATTTTTTGTCCAGTAAATCAGAACATCTGCACAGGCATCCTACATTCAAAAAGTAATAGCTAGAAAGAAAACTACTGAATTACTGAATTAAGACTATTCCCACATATTCTATTGCCTAGTGCCAAATTTTACTTACCAGCTAAGTAATTTCAAGGCCAAAAAAAAAAAAAGAAGGCAGAAATTCAGGTGCACAAGGAACTTGTATAGTTGTGTACAGTCATGAGCCCTCAGTCTGCATATCACACAGCTGCAGATGTAATTAGGCAGCAGGCTTCAGGAGAGCTCCGCTAGCACGCCAATCCTGCGGCGGCTCCAGGCTTCCCCCTCTCTTCCCCTGAGGCAGCCGAGCCTTAAATGGCAGCACGGCTAATGGCTCGGCCCTGAGCAGCATTGCTAGCGATGGGCAGCAAGCACCGGCGGCGCGCAGGGGCAGAAAAGTTGTCGGATGCAGCAGTCCACAGGGTGCCATCTGCTGCGGCCCGATACGCCGCACGGAAGAGAGCAAGGACAGATGTAATGGGTATCTTCACCCATGGATGGGTCAGGCAGGAACCCCTCCATCAGCACTTCGCAGGCGGTGGGGAGACTGATAGCCTCTCGCCTTCAGTAAGAGTCAGGGTAGCCCTGACGCCGCTTGCACAGCACGGGTTTAGCAGGGCCAAGGGGAAGCAATATAAGCCACAAATCAGCCGCACAGAGGCTGCCTCATCTTTGATCCTGCGTTAAGGAGATGCTGGCAAAACCCTTTTGGTGCAGAAAATGTCATTCTCTTCCTCTGCAAGGAACCTCCATGACGTCTGGTTCAGTTTACACGGTGTGTTTATTTTTAGAGATGGAATTGAAAATGTTATAAAATCCTCTCAAAAAAGGAAGAAGGTAGACTCTTGAATATTTTTCTGTTGAATGCTTAATTAGGTGCACGGTCTATTGAAAATATTTTTCCATGAGAAAGCAATCTCAATGCCTAATTGCACTGTACTCTGTTTGCAGTTCATTACTACAAAGTGCGCTGCTCTGTACCTGAAACCGCATTAGCATGTCTGCTCCGTAGTGCCGCTAACGCTACAATCCTCATGTTTGGATCTTTAGACACAAAGACTCCAGTGTGGCTGATCTGCATCTGAAATAACTCAATTTATAGGCAATCTCCAAGTAACTTTGACTGACATATCAGTGGTTATAGCTTTGAGGAAGACACTAAGCTTCTGGGGAAAGTTAAATTTAATGCCCCAGTGACACTTAATTATTAGGCCAATAAAATTAAGGTGGAATATGAAAGAAAATGCTGCCAAGTATGAACCACGTTTTCATGATTATTCTGAATACTGCTTATTCTGCCTCAGTAGTACTGATCACATTACAGTTGCATATTAATCTTCAGTGTAAAGTGTTCTATAGAAATTGATTAAAAGGACATTTGTTTCTAGAAGTTTAAAACACGGGTACAAGTAACTGTGGTTATGATTTAGATAAGGAGGCTGAAGGCTACACCGCCAAAAAGCGGAAGCACTGAAAGCGGGACTTGCGCAGACTCAGGCACTTTGACAACAGTGAGCTCCCCCAAGTCCTGCCGATCCCAGGAAACTCTCAGCATCTTGTCAGACTGAGCAGCTTAGTTCCTACTTCACACCTGTGCTGGTCGGGGGCTTCAGACAGCCCAGGGCGTGTGGAATATAATAAAAAGCCCTTGAGCACTGAGTAAAAACTGATCTTCTCCCACCCTTTGGAAGAAATGCATTAGACTCCCGTCTGCAGAAGGGGGACCAGCCCTGTGAGTCACAGGCAGGAGTAAGTCCATCTTTGCTAAAGTAGGGGCAAATCAGAGAGAGAAACTGGGCCCAAAACACACCTCGCTCTTCAACATCCCTCATTGTCCTTATACATCATGCAGATATCAAGGTCCCTAAGTCCGATTCCTCTAATGGTGGTTCTATGTTAGGAGTAACAGAGCTCAGTTTCACAACTCTGAAGTCTCTTTACGGGCCCAGCCCTTTACGGGTCGAGGGATCTCTTTGGTCATCATCCCCAAAGGCTCACAGCTGTTTTTGCAGCTCTGAACGCTGACAGAAATGGAGGCCAGCTTAAGGAAAAGCTGGAAATATCTCATCAGTGCCTGGACTTTGGTTAATGACAACTTGAACAAGACCCACAGGACTAGGACAGAGCAGTTACGATCAACAGTTCTCTCACAAAGAGACCAAACACTAAAATCATAATTAAAAACTGTTTCTGGTTTCAATAATTTACAATCCTTTTATAATATCATGTCTTTTTTATGTTTAAACTTCTCTTCTATTCAGAGTGAAGGGAAATGAAGCTGAAATAAATAAAATGAAGAATTCACATGACAGTGCAACAGCCTGAAGGGAAAAAGAGGACATTTCCAATGCTTCACTGTCAATAACTGATCTATGTATCAACTTCCTGCTGCATATTAGTCTTCCTAGAGCAGCAGAGTTTTCCCGGGGAAATGTCAGCTGAATCTACTGCCAGGAGCACTGGCAGTAACTGTAAGCATTCAGAGTTTCCTGGGAGGGAATAGGTATGCCATTAACTCAACTACTGGAAGAGGTACTCCCGCCTGCCCATCCCTATCAGTCTCCCATAGTCTTGGAACTTTTTAAACAGATTTTTAGTCTATAATTTACTTTTAACATAAAAATTATTTTCTTAAGAGGATAAAAACATATAGAATTAAAGTCTTCTCAGGGAGATGCAGCCTTCCTTTTCATGGGATAGAGAAAAGACAGACTGCTCAGCTCTGGGACTGGCAGTGTGGTGGCAGGGCAGAAGGGTTCCTCCTTCCATAAATCTGCATCTGATAGATATAGTACAGTTGTCTTGGCCTTTCTTCAGAAATAGGGAGAGATGTCACATCCACAGACACCATGGGCATATGAGAGAGCTTGTTCCAAAGCCCACAGCCAACCGCAGTTTTACTCTGGTGCAGACCTGTGGCTCAGAGAATGGCAGGGAAGGCCATTTCTTGAGCGCTGTTACAAGGTCGCTCACTGACAGAAGAAAGTTTCTTATGTTTGATACTCCACCAGAGATGATACAATCAAGCCCTGAATGAATATGTAACTAAACACCTAGACTAGGCAGGGAAAGATGGAAAATGAGAGCTTTTTTTCTAGGAAATAGCCTATCCAGCTTTCAGAAAAAGATTTCCAAGTTAACTGTACCTACTAGGAATGTAAGGAGGTTTATTGATATCATTAACAGCACATCCAGGATACTGGCCTCTTTCCAAACTGGATGTTTCATTCATATCCTTTAATAAAGAGTTAGAAACATGTCAAAAGCTGAATTTTCTTTTCTTTTTTTTTTTTTTTCAAAAAGAGGGGAAGGCAAATATATTTAAAAATACAATCCAGATTCCATCGTAGTCAAGGACATCCTTTAACTCCAGACACAACTGGGTCCACCAGTCAACTGTCCTTGGGTCAGTGTAGTCAGGAAACACAGCATATCCATCAGGCAAGACCTAGAGTTTACAGGTATAAACATCAAGCTATTTTCTCATTTCTCTTATACACTTTCTTCAACACTTTGAAATAACACTGATCCAAACTCATAAGTGAATTTAATAAACCAGCCTTTCCAACAGCAGCAGTTACGCCATCAGAATTATTCACCCAGACTCCCATTTCTTCTCCAAGATCATAAGGCCTGTAAGTACCTGGTTCTTCATCCTTACTTATGAAAGGATCCTGAAAACGGTGATCACACTTCCATTATCAACATGTCAAGGACAACAGCTATTTTTCTATTTGTGTATTCTAGAACAATTTGGATCGAGCTCTTAATGTAGATTGCAAGAGCACTGGAAGAAAATGGCATTAAAATTTAGTAAGAGTTGAGAGTACATAATTTAGGAAAAGTCATTAGAGATATGTTGTGAGTATTTCTTGGAAAATGCTAAAGTTAAATGAAATTATTAAAAAGCCTCATGTTTATTTCTATGAGATGTTCTACTTTCAACTGATTTTGAAGAAGCACTACATTTTATATTTCTTTTTTCTGAAGTCACCACTTGGCAGAGGAAGTTGTCAGGCCTGTGCATTCCCACACTTCCCTGGGTCTGGATTTCTTTCAAGATAAGCTTCATTCCAACTTCTTCAGTGTGACCAGCTCGATTTTGGCATAGTGAAAATATCTCAAAGGGCTTGAAGATGGGACATATTGACCTCAGAGGGATCTTTTTAGCCCCTCTGCTTCAGATCCAATATCGAACAAGGCTGTTCTGTATCTGCCTGGCACAGAGTAACCCAATTCGGGCGTGCTCACCAAACGCTGTTTCCCTGCATCCCTGTCCCTCACCCTCCCCTCTTTTTCAGGCCCTGACCCCCCCACACAGCCACTCCCCTCCTCATCTCTTGCCCATTCACACCATGCATTTACGCTCCTCCGTGCCTCCCCCATCACTGTTCAGGGTTGGCAACCACCTCCCATCGCTCCTTCCACCTTCTCGCGATTGCAGCCACCATCCACCCAGGATGATCATGGGCTCGCTCAAAGGGAGCCTATGGGACTCTCTGGAAAGATGGTGGCCCACTATGCCATAAGCAATGAACAGGAATACCTTGAAGTGCCAGTCAATGAAGAGATAATACTCAGCTTAGTTTAGCATCCAACTGGGAGTAAAAGCGTGCTTTGTAATATGCCCCTAACTGGGAGCAGCCATCTTCTTCGTGTTACTTAGAACAATGGAAGATTGCAGCCATTTTAGATTAAGGGAATGCTATTCCCTCAGGTTCTGCTTAAGGTGGAAAAACTTTCAGCTGTGAAGCATGGGAGAGAAAAATACCACTGAAAAAATTCTTTCTTCACTTATAGCTTGTGTGATAATTTAAATTAATTTTAATTAACAGGTAATATAAGTTCAATTACTAAACTTCTTAAGGACAAAAAACACAAAAAACTTTTGATCCTCAAAAGTAAATTTTTTAAGGGCTTGCTTTAAAGCCTATTTTAATACCTAAATTAATTACCTGATTGACTTATAAACCCTCTGAAAACATCTGACAGCTACAGCTCTGGCAAGGAAAGTGTATTACTCCATGCATTAAAAAAAAGTTTCTGATAAATCCCTACCTTAAATGCCAAATCAGTTCAACTATAACCATGTAGCTGCAACGTCACCTCTGTAATTAAGGAGCAGAAGTGTCCATTACCTGCTTAACTTCTTGAATAGTTCAGCTTTGAAAGAGAAAACTGTCCATCTGCAATAATTATCTTATAATTGTGGAAAAGATGGTTCTCAAGGGTCATGAAGGCTGGAAGAAATCAGCTTAATTAGCTCTTCCTAATCTAAACTTCTGGTTTCCTTCAGCTGAAAGGTTATTCCTGTGCATAAATCTAACATATCATGCAGGTTTAGCATCATCTTAAAGAGAATAAAGCCGTTCCAGTCCTGGTTTTGCATCCCCTGGGCTGTTTGTGGGGGAAGGAAGTCCATATCTGTTAACTCTTTCGTCAGTCACATTTTTAGCAGCTGTTGGAGAGATGCTGAGCATTCTTACCTCCAGTTGACTGCCCTGAAAGTGGGGGCACCCAGCGCCTCTCCAAATCAGCCCCCTTCCACCTATGGCCCCAAATAGAGTTTTTGACGCACATCCATAAAAACTCATCTCTGGAAATTTTAGCCTCTACAAAGCACAGAGCTGGACTGCAAAATGTTGAAGTTATCGAGCACTATTCTGAATTATGAGCATGTTGCTACTGAGTTCTCTTAAGTAATTCGTCATTCATTTCATTCCTAGCTGTTTCTATTTTTAGTGTGAGGTAATGGAAGGTATACAAGGTCTTTCATTAAAGCTCCTCTTTAGTCATAGTGTTTATTGTTTTACACCGTAGTCATTGTTACTTTTAGAACTTCTTCCTTTGTTTCTAAACAATAGGTTTGTTCTGACTCAGAGTAAGTCACAGCTGAAGCATGAGCTTCAGTGCTGATGATCGAGTGCTGATACCATCAGATGAAATTTCCCTTAAATGGAAGTGGTCTCTGAAAGAGATAAGGGGAGAGGAGTGTTGAGGGATCGTGTTTAGGGACTGTGGCAATAGGGCCATGGGCAAGGAGGGGTCTCCACGTCTGATGCAGGTCCAGGGGTCGGACTCCTTGATGGTGAGGCACCAGCAACCCTGGCAGTGCTGGCACAGCCAAGGGCAGAATCCCAGCTTGGGGCAGATCACCATTTACTAGTGTTCTCAGGGTCTGCATTTTGCTTGTGACCACAGGGGTCCACAATGCTGCTGCACACCAAGCAGAGGACTGAATCCATCTCTGACAAATCTGCTTAGTAGAGCTTTTACATGATGCTAAGTGACCAAAATCAGAGCACGTTTCCTCAGATCATCATGAGGAAGGCAACAATCTGATGCACTTGGGGAGCACACTCATTACTGTCACTACCCAAGAGGAATCTAAATGGAAAATCATTCTTTTGGTATCAAACTGGATTCCGCTTGCCTTGATTGCAGTTAGCATGGCTTTGCTCTCACTTTGGAACAAAATTCTTCATACTCTTCCAGCTCCTGACTCAATTTGTGGGAATGATTCGCATTAGTGAAGAATGCTAACAATCAAAATTTGACAGAAATATCAGAAACTGCAGTATAGCAAAGATAGAAAACTTCACTCTCTATCCTTCCCATTAGCTTGAAAAAAAAAAAGGACAAACTGGATCAGCTTTTGTTCTGTTTCACAAACTTATGTAAAGGGCTAGAGCTGGCCGCAGTTCTCAGTTACAGGTTAGCTGAAAGGGGAGAGAAGAGGTTCCTATCAGCTTATGGCATGGATTAAGAATTATTAATTGCTATATTCCTTGTATTTGCCTAACTATTAGATTTAGATTTATATAGCAACAGTCTTTGCACTGCTATAGCATGCTCCGTCTGAGAACCTGAGAGCGCTTTAAAAATGTTGTTGGAGTTAAACTCACGATATATCTCAAATAAGCACATGCAATAATATTTCACTGTTCTCTCTTCCACCTTTTTGCTAAGAAAACTGAGTCTCAGAGTGGGATTATGTCAAAGTCTCTCCTTTTAGCTTAGGAACACAGATTTTTTTGTTTTATTTCGTTATAAACTAACCACCCATAACGCTGGTTAGAGAGAAGAAATACGTTGAAAATATGGGTCTCAGAGTCTTAGCCCTGACAGGGCATGATATTGCAAAGGATACAACTCAAGTGTCCTGACTTAGTGATGCTGCCTTCCTTCCAGGATCTAGCTTATGAACACCTTACAAAACGTAAGAAGTTACCTTTTGTCAGAAAAGAAGTCACCTGCTATACACTGACTGCTTGCATGTAGCTTCTTGCCCGGTAGCAATCGCAAAACAATTAGCGGTACCCAAACTGTGACAAAAAAGAGGTGACTATCATGTATTTACTGATGGACAAGCACGTACACAGAAAGAGTTACAGTGAACTCACGATATTTTGCGCTTATATTCATGACTTGCACACCTTTTTTTAAGGAGTAAATAAGCAGGTGATTTTTAACAGATGAGATCACTTTTGAGAGGTATTCAGTATACAGGGAGTCCAAACTGTGTGATATTTGAGATGAACGCTCAGTCCTTACTGTGCATGTGCTAATCTATAGCTTGGTTAGCTATTTACAACGATGTATTGTCATAGTTTTGGACTAATTTTTTTTTTTGAAGTTGTTCTCCATCAGTGTGACCTAGTAATCTGTCACTGTTCAAACATCATGCCTTGGAGCTCCACTGGTGGCAACTGTTTTCACTGCTCACCCTGGAACTATTCATGACTTACAGTTGCAAAAGACCTGGGTCTTTCATGGGAACGTACCTTAGGGGAAGAATTGCTGGCAAATAGTGCTCACTATATAGACTGCTATTTCCATTAGCAATACGTAATTAATCTCTTGAGCTGTGTGGTTTCGTTTGAAATTCCTAGCAGTGAATGCAGTTACAGTGCAATAAGGTGAAGATCAAGTCATTAATAAATATAGAGCAGGTGTTTTCAATGGCACTACAAAAAAGAAAAAATAAATAACAGCAGTCCTACATAACTGAGGAAAAGCCAACCTAATGGCAATACTTAAAAAAGAGAAAATACTGATATGGGTATCCACAGTCTGACTAAACCAACCTTACTAATATGCAAAACTCGGCAACAAATTTTGGAGGAAGAAATAAGGACAGGGAAGCAATTCTAATTCTATCTATTTGACAAGATCATGTGATTTTTAGATAAGGAAACTGCCATAACTATGGGTTATCTTGGCTTCAGTAAACATCTGACAAAATGCCACAAGTGAAAGTGAAGCCACCCCACAATTTAGGACTGTGCTACTCAGCCTCCCTTTCTACAAGCCTTCAAAGACACCCCCATTGACAAGATGAGGAACACAGCCCTTATCTTAAAAAGGCTGAATCGCTTAGAGCCTAAACTTTCGGGGTCTATCCAGTTCTCAGCTTAGCTGGCTTAATTGATCACATTATGAGTATGAGCCACCAATATCACGCAGGTAGATGTGATCCAGGGTTTTGTCATACAGGACATTTCTAGTAGAATGAAAGAAATATTACTGCCATTCTCCAAAACATTGGGGTGACACTGTCTAGAGTGCTATGAAATCCAGTTGTCTATATACAGACAAATGAATTCAAATTGGGGCACATATGGGGAAGAGCTATTACAATGAGAACCGAAGACCTTACCTGATAAAAACAGAATAAAACATTTTAGTTTGTTTAGCCTAGCAAAACAAAGGCTGAGTAAGAATATGTTTATTCAAATAAGTATATCAAGAAAGAAAATAGCAGGGCAAGAGATTGGCAATTTCAGTTAAATGAGAATAGTAGCACCCCAGTAAAAGGTGTAAGCTGACCACAGAAGACTGGAACTATAGTAAAAAAGCCTGAAGGGGACTGCAAGAGGTCATCTCCTCTTCCTTCCCCTAGTGTGTCAGCTCAGCCTGAGCAGTCCCTGATGCATGCGTGTCTGACCTGCTTGCAAAACCCTCTCAGAGATCCCCAGCCTCCCCAGGCAGTCTGCTCCATGCTTCACTATCTTTGTGGAGACAGCTTTATCCCAAGGCCTTCCTTAAATCTTTTTTTTGCTGCAATTTAAAGCACTTTACTTCTTTTCCTGTCCCTAATGGTTATGGAGAACAAATTATGCCTCTCTTCTCTGTAGCAACGTTTCGTATCTGTGTACGCTGTTCCAGGCCCCAGTACTTCTGAACGTTCCCACCTAAGAAATGTAAGGTCGTGCTATTGCCACAGTTTTAGCAGAGGAGTACAGTCCTTCTAGTACTGTGCTGCTGTAGAGCTGCGTAGAGCAATTTCTTATGCATCTATCAAGGACGTTTATTTAATTTACCGGCTTCCAATTTCCTTGCCGACAATTACATTCCCTGTAGTTATTGTGACAAAAACTAATTTCAGCGCAAGGATATGTATGGGGATTTGCTAGAGAGAAACAGTAATCTGGCAAGGGAAGAGGGAAAGCTCCTATTTTCACTTCTGCCCAAATTAATTGATTTGGTCAGACATCAATTTTGGTTACAGGTTCGAAATACATTTTCCATAAATTTTCATGCAAACTTCTTTTACATTAATGTAGATGAAAAGTAAATATAAGGCAAAATGAATTACAGTTACTAGCTCTCCAGAGTGATTATGAGTAATTTTTTTCACTGTTCAGCTATTTCTGTCTGCATATTAAACTCATTTGTTTATTTTCATGAAAAGAACCGCATTAAAGCAATTCGGTCTCAACTCAGCCTGGAGCAGAGGCAAAATTGTTCATAGTTTTTACTGATTTGAGTAAAAAAAAGTAAAAGAAAATTAATGTTATGATATAGAGGTGGTACTGGTGCACAAGTATCTGATAAATGCAATACATATTTAAATGAGAAGCCTGTGAGATGCTGTTATTCCTCTTCTAGATAAATGACAAAACTGGAAAATCGAATACAACAGCATGCATGTTTTAGCACCTAGATACGGCTATGAGCATTATGATGTAAACAGTTGCTATAAATGGAGAAATAATTAGCAACATTGTTATTTTACCAGAATCAAGACATAATGCATTCCTTCTTTCTTCAGCTGTTGAACGTACTCTGGCAAACCAGCATAATTTTCTTTATCACAGGTAAAGTCCAGACGTAAAGTTCCGTGTAATCAATATCAGAATGCTGGACATCCTAAACATTTTTAAAGTAAACATTTAAGTATTTTATACAGAGAATCAGATCCCACGCATTTATGTTTATAAAGGTAACTAATCTATGAAATGAGACCTAAAAAAATGGCTATAATAATGGTAAACAATTGAAAGGCCACATTCAGCTCCTACAAACTTACATGGTAGCAGTGAACAAAATGGAAACACAGAAGTCCTAGTATAGCAAATGCTTGGCATTGATAGGCATCAGAAGTGCCATAATTCATGTTTAAAGTGCCAGCACCTCACACTGCCGTATACCAGCCCACGGTCATCACAGCACAAAAGTAAAACCATATCAGAATCCTCTGCTATGGAACCAAGAGCAGCACTTAAACCTCATGTCTAAAGCCCACTTTAAACGTTCTTTTAAGTCTTACAAAGATATTCTATGCAAAACCATTACATATAAGATTATGAATATTCTTTTTCATTCTACTGTTCTATTCATAGGATAATCACTTTTCCTCTATTATAATTCTATTCATTTCACTTTGGATTTTACAATTAGCATATACATTGAAAAATTCATACTTACATAGGGGATGTCGTAGTAGCGCATGCAATCAACTGTTTCCTTTGAAACCTCAATGCTGCCATAACCCCATTGGGAGAGCTGAAATCCCAGAGACCAGTAGGCAGGCATGTGTGGGCGTCCAATAGCCTACAGCAAGGATGAGGAATAAAGTTATTCCAAGGGTGAGCTGAAGATTTTGGAGAAATAAATTATTCTAAAACCCCAGAAGAGGCTTCCTGCTCATTTAAGCCTTGAAGATCAGAGCATGGGTACAACACGCGTTCAGAGTAGTTCTCTCAGTTTGTCATTTCTAAAGTGGAAAGTAATCTGCTTAGCATATTATTTCGTATGCTTTTATTCACCATAGACAGCATATGCCTTTAAGAAACCACTTGTTTTATGTAAAATCTCTTTTTTCTCAGAAATGATGATGATATATCTACAAATAAGGGGATAAGACACACATATCTGCTCCCCTGAGGCACAGAGCCTTTTGGTATGGGGGAGACGCCAGAAGCCACCCACTCCTTTGTGCCCCAAGCAGCAATGTCCAGCAAGGCTCTCTCTAAAAACAATTTTTTTTTTTCAAAGATAAACTTAAAACCCTGGGAATTATTGAGCAGAAATGTCAAAGTTGCGTCAATCTCACGTTTTTGTTACTCCACCCTTTTCTTTCTCAGGAAGGCTCGTTGTTCATTATACTTCCTTTGAAAATGGGACAGAGCACTCTCCAAGACAGAAGTTGTCTCTGCTCACATGTTTGAGGCAAGCTTAGCCTGAAGGACCCGAGTCTCAAAGAGGGCCTCTGATTCCACTTTACAGACCATGAATTGTAAGAATACGTCAGCGGACAGCATAGCATTAAAAAAAAAAGAGCTAACTTTGAATGAAGGTCTTGCTCAGGTCCCAGAAACAGCACCCGCACAGCAACATGGCACTCAGGGTGCCTTCACTTACATGATACAGGCCAGCTGAAATCCAGTGTGGAGCCTCGCACTGTCTGATCAGCGTCAAATCCACAAACCTTTTGGTCAGTCAAAGGCAGGTCTTTGATACTACATAGCAACATCAGCTTTGGTACTTCTTGCCACATTCAGCTGAAGTATTTCATCCAAAGGCTGGTGTTTATTTGAGCTATCTGAAATTTTAACCATATTTACCCACCTCCCTGATGAAATTCAATTACTTATGACTGACTTCCTAGAGCTGGCCCACAGCATTGTATTGCCAGACATTAACAAATCTCTTCAAGATCAGAGTTACTGTTTGGTCCTTCAAAATTCTCTACTCAAACACAAGGCAATGAGTTAAATACGATGTTCTAAACGTATGATTCCCACATAAGGCAGCTGGAAATTGCTTGAGGAAACTAGATTGGGAGTACAGAGGAGTGCTCTGGCAGCCTGGGACAAGCACAGAGCAATCATGACTATTCTAGAAATAAGCTGAAATCTGGGGCTGCATCATTAGTACGCGCTGGTGTTTTCTGTGGGACATATCCTGAAATCCTTTTTTAAACGCATTTGTAAAGCGTCAGATCCCATGAAATTAACTTTTGTTCAATATTTCTATCACAGCTCATTCTTAATATCCTTGCAGGCAATACATGAAAATCAAGTAGCTAGGAAGCACCCATGACTATTAATCAGTCACAGCTATTGGCTCCCTTGGGCTAGGTAACCCTTCCTCCCCTATTTCCTTGTGGATCTGCATAGTTAGGTAATTATGCCAAGGAGTGAAAAAGAACAAAACTTGAATAATGGCACCTAAAACCCATCTACCTTAATTAATAAAAGGAGGGACTCCTGACACTCCATATCAGTTGCATTGCTAAGCAATCTAGACATTGCAACTTGAACTTGATCTACAGGATGTCATGCTAGAGCTGGTGGGGAGCTATATGTGCAGGCTATAGAGGGCAGGAAAATAGACGTGGAAGGAAAACGCGGTGTAGCAGCAGCTCTTTTAATACACTTAAGCTCACCGGAGGAACAACACAGGATAACTTGCTTGCAATCAAGAATGACTTGTGGCCAAACAGGCACTTTACACACTAAGGATTACAATTTGGCTACACAGTGTGCTTTCACTTGTTGAGATGCTGCTGTCTCACTGAATCAAAAACAGAAGGAGAGCAGAACAGCTTGTGAAGTTAATAGTTTGAGCCATTCTGGGAGGGATGCTCTGGAGAAGCAGTGCGACTTCCCCATAAACCATCCCATTCCACAGAGATTTAACTCTCTGCACCCCTTCAAGCAGCCAGAGGCAGCTTCAGAAGAAGCAAACACAGCTATTAGCAGCATGCTCCTGGCACAGCAGTGTTCATCCTCCACGGTGCACAGCTACACCTGTCATACCAGGAAACGACCTGGCTGAAGGTGGCCCTGAGCAATGTGGAGAGGAGGCTGGCAAGAAGAGGAAAGCCATTGCCACTATGCTGCAGTCTCATCTCCATAGTCTGGAGGTACTTGCAGGTTCCTCATGGGCTGTGGGTCCTCAGAGAGAGCGATCTGCTCTCTGATCTTCACCTGACTGCAGGAGTTGTTCGCAGGCCAGCTGAGAGGGCCTGGCCTTGTTTTCTTGACTGGGCTGTGGTTATATAAGTATACAGAAGAAGCCTGAAATTTGGTGGAAAGTCCACCTTGCACTGAGTTTTCTGCCCCTTGTCCTTGGGGCTCCGCAGAGGTGTCCCTGAATCAGGAGTAACAGCTCAAGCCTCATCTTCAAGATGCCTTATGACCTGGAAGTGAAGTGTTTGGCAGAGCATGGAGAGCCTCAGGGTCTGCTTATCTATCACAACAGTACTCTCCATACTAAGGATAAATTCATCTGAGGAGGCAGCAGAACTTGTCAAAGCCAGGCCGAGACTGTGAGATGAACTCCTTGAACCCTACCACTTTATGCAACAGAAACAGATGTGTATTTTGCCCTTGCTTTCTCTACTGTAAATAGAGAGTGACCTATACAAAAAAGGTTAAAAAAAACAGAAAAACAAAAGAACTCCCTAATGAAATAAAATGTTTTGTGTACAGACGTTTCCCCTTGGATAAGAGGAAGAGGGGGAAAACAGCTGATAAATATTAATCCTGATGCTTAATGCAGAGCCTGGTGCCCTTGCAGGACGTCTGTGTGGCTCAGAGTTCAGCACTGCCATGAGATGCAGGGAGCTGCCTACAACCAAACAAGCTGCAGAAATGGAAACCTCCGACGCCATCTCGGTCGTGAGACGCAAGGCTAATCAGCCTGGGCAGAGTTAGATGCAAATGCAGCTCTGCTGCCGCTGGGACAGCAGCTGGTACTGCTAGGCAGCATTGCTCCGGGTCCTGGCGATACCCCAGGTCATGTAGTGCTGACAGCATCTCAGCTCTGGGCCACATTGGCATGTCTCCGAGCACAGTGCCAGAGAGTCCAGAACTGACATACTGAGAAAGCAAGGTGGCTCAAGAGATGGAGGGAGACCACTTCTGCTCCTCACTCTGTTGAGTGCCTGGTTGAACACTGATGGGTTTGAACGTGCGGTCACCGGTACACCTGCCAAAGTCCTTCCCAAACAGCACAACCTTTCCCTGCCGTTGCGGCTTCTCCGTTATGTACCTGTTCTCTTTCACCTGCACACCACAATGTTGCCCTTCAGCGAGGCAATATATTGTGTCAGCACTACTTGAGGAATTTGGGATTGGAGCTGAACGAATTTAAGAAAATCTACCTTGCAAGCAAGATAATAACTTGAAAAGCAATTAGTTCTCCAGGTCCACCAAGCTGGTGCATCTATGGTAAGCTTAATTGAAATCAACAGAACATTTGAAGAGAAGGATGAAAACAGGGCAGCTGGGAAAACAAATGTTCTTTTTTCTAATTATGCTGCGAACTCTCTCTAATGGATCCCCCTGAAGCTTCCTGATAAAGTAACTGACATATGGTACCTACTTGCAGATGGATCAGCAGAGGCAGAGATGTAATTTTGCAAACCTGAAGTTCATGTTAGATTTGATCTATATTTAGGATCCAGTTAATTCATATAGATTGCATTCTGCATACAACTGGTTTTAAAATGTTGTACACAGAGAAAGGCTGCTTGACAAAACTAACTCCCACAGAATCAGAAAAGGTAAACGAGGTATGGTAAGGGAAATGAGGGAGGAAAACATCAGAAGTGCAGAAGCAGCAAACATATGGGGTATCTAAACTGAGAAAAAAATGAAGGATATGGTGATGTATAAGTAGAAAGAAAAATAGACTGTATTATCTGGACCACTGTTCCTCCTGTTCTTGGTTCTTAAATAACTTTTAGTGTTGTTTAATAGATTCATTGTTAGTTTTTCCATTTTTATGTAACTTGTCATTATGTAACTTCTTTCACCTGATAACAGATGTATCTACTGCGTTTGCAGTAAAAACAAAGACAATTAATGAAAATATGCATGTCCACCAGCTAAAATCTGCGCCCAGGAAACACATGATCTGTGCTCTTCTTCCTTTGTGTTGGGTTACTGGGCAAATAACATTAATATTACTAGCATCTCAACACAAGGATATCAACTAAGTTATAAATGCTAAATAGTAAACCAGGATCCCATTCTGTTAGTACTGTGGTCGAAGAAATTGATATGACAAAGAAAGCTAAACGGTTACATCCTGTATACTACAGGGGCCATAGAGGGAGACAGTCTTTTCCGCGCTTACAAAGGAGCAGAAATCTCCAGAAAATCTGCCTTTGGCAGAAGAAGGCACGAATAAGGGGTAGCATGCAGCCCATGCCTGCTTTCTGCCTCAGCACCAGCTTGCCTACAGGTTTGTGGAGATGCCCTGGGATGTCTGTGTGGTCTTCTACAGGCAGGCAGGAGCTGCCTCTGGCTGTGCTCTGTGCCAGGCAGACGCAGTTGGCTCTGGCCGTTCAGACATTCAGCCTCCACCAGCAAAGTACCAAGCCCAAGGCATTGATGTGCAAAGCCGGTTCACAGCCAGGCAGCTCAGGGCCGAAGGGGATGAGCTGCATCTACATCTGCTCACCCGCACTGCCCAGCTAGCCTCTCTCCTGTGCACTTAAAATACTCTTTCGTGTGGAAGTCCGGGATCTCAAATGTCACCGTAGTGACTCTCTTCCATGTTAATGACGGTTGGAAAGCCCTAGGCATGAGTCTCTGCAAAGGAAGAGGTCGTTGTGCCTTTCTGACCCCTTCCTCTGATTCCTCTCTCCCTCACGGCCCTCTCACCACACTGCTCCAGCAACAGTTGCCTGGGCTCACCACAGAAGATCGCTCTGCAACTCTTAAACTCAAACTAGCCACATAAAATGATTCTTGTCACTTGATATGTGCAACAACTTCTTTTAACCTTAGGAAGAGGTGTAGGAGGGCATACTATAAAAATCCAAGTGGGTTAATGCTCTGGGTTTAGATACAAAAGTAGTGTCTTTGGATAGTCACACAATGGCTATACTACGCAGGTGCCCCTACGGCCCAGATATCCGTATCCATCTCATCACAGATGTCCTTGTTGGCTGAGACAGGTAAGTCATCAAAGTATTATCAAATTGTGTGAGCCTAGTCAGGCAGGGGATAACCTGAATTCAGAGTCTATGCAGAGAAGGTGAACTGTGTTTAGGAGAGCAAGAAGAAAGGCCTCACAACTGCTGAA